CCCCAAAACCCCAAAACCCCAAAACCCCAATTATTTTGATGGTTATTGAAATAATATCTAAAATATATCCCAATATGGCAACCCTTGCTGCTGATAAAGAAGCGATAAAATTTGTAGAGGCTCTTTCCAACAAAAAGATTAAAGAGAAGTATAAGATAATTGATGAATTCACACAGTTTATCTTCCCTGAGGGGCATAAGCCAACAAAGTTTAGTAAAGAAATACTCTCAACTCTTCTTGATGGAGATTATGACAGAAAGCTAATCGGATTGTGTCAAATATGATGAGGCAAAAGGAAGGTATCAAAGAAGCTCAAGAGATCTTCAATAGCTGCAATGAACCTAGTGCATAAGTTACTGTTTGACCATTCAATGTCCAGAACTGTCAAGGTGTTCTTTAAAAGTCTTGATCCTGATGTTTATCTCTCTATGAATCTTGGAAAGCATTTCCTTGGGAGTCACAATAGTAAGGATGACAATAAGGCTCTGGATATTATCAAATTTATTAAAGCCGAAAGGCCTCGACTAACAATTGATGAGATTGTAATGAAAGAAAAAGCATACAAATAAGTTAGAAATGATTTTGAGCAATTTTGAGCACGATCCAGAAGAGCAAAAGAAGTATTTAATTGACCAAGTTGAAGAAACCCAACCTGAACAAACTATTCTAGAACCAACAGAGGACATACAAGTAGAAGATGATATCCGAGATGATGGCGAATATCTCAAAGAACCTACAACATGGGCTGAAGTAAACGAAGACGACGATTTACTTGACATTAACCAACAAGATCTTCCTTGTAAGTTTCCTTCCTAATAGTCTAGCTCTGGCTACCTACAACCCCAAAGTCTCTGCTCCATCTCAATCACTCTCTATCCTCGAAGACTTCACTCACAACTTCAAATCAAAATCCAACCATGATAAATTTTCATGTGCTTCGACTCTGGTTGAAAAATCTGTGAAATCCTACTTGAATCACGAATACATCGGGTCAGACAAAGCCTTCTCTACAAAGTCGAGTAGACCGTTCATCAAGGCGATGAATGTCTTGGAAGACGTTTACAAGGAACTTTTTCACACTAGATCCTACGGAGCCGTCGAATCTGTGGCCAAGGAGACCCTTGACCAAGGTAAGATTCCTCTTTATATCTCTAGATTTGAAAGAGATTTCAACTCTTCAAGCCAAAATCGATGTTTATGTGAAACCTCTTAAGCAAAAGCTTAAGGATCTGAATATATAGCTCAGCGGTAACTTTTTGATCTAATTCTTAGTGCAGAAGAGGCTTTGAGTCTTGAACAAAGCTCATTGTTCTACATGGATGAAGACTTGGTAGACCCAGCCGGCAACAAGGTTAAAACTATCGGCAATGTGAACAAAGCTATCAATGAGATAAAATATAAGATTGAAAATAGTAATCTGGAGTACAAAGATTCAGACTCATCGGCATACTATAAAAGCTTAGTTGATCTCTACTCCTTCCTTCACAATGAAGATAGGGATGTCGGAGCAGAGATGGCTACAGATACTATGATTGATTCCTTACAGAAAAGAGTCCTCTCATCATTTGATAAACTTGATTTTGAGTAAGAGATTTAGTAAACAAAAGTTGGGCAAGAGGAAAGTCACAGTTAAGGAGTTAGCTGCCTGATAAAGGTACTCTAACGTAGGGAGAAAGTTGAAATTACCATTACTTTCAATAATCCTAAGATATTTGGGGTTTTGGGGTTTTGGGGTTTTGGGG